CCCTGGAGCAGCCGCCCCAGCAGCAGCCGCCCCTGGAGCAACCGCCGCTGCAGCAGCCGCCCCTGGAGCAGCCGTCACTGCAGCAGCCGCCCCTGGAGCCGCCACTGCAGCAGCAGCCCCTGGAGCAGCCGCCACTGCAGCAGCCGCCCCAGCAGCCGCTACCCCTGCAGCAGCCGCCCCTGAAGCGGCCGCCCCTGCAGCAGCCGCCCCTGGAGCAGCCCGCAACTGCAGCAGCCGCCCCTGGAGCAGCCTGCACCTGCAGCAGCCGCCCCTGGAGCAGCCCTCAACCGCAGCTGCCGCCCCTGGAGCAGCCCGCACCTGCAGCAGCCGCCCCTGGAGCAGCCAGAAACTGCAGCAGCCGCCCCTGGAGCAGCCCGCACCTGCAGCGGCCGCCCCTGGAGCAGCCCGCACCTGCAGCCCGTCCCGTTCCCCCCCCCCTCCCCCCCCGTGCATTCCGTGGTGCTGGGGGTGTGGGGTGCCGAGCATGGGGGTGGCGGGTGTGGGGGTGGCGGTTATGTGTTCCTCCCCTTGCTCCTCCTCCTCCCTCGTCTCCCACTGCTGCAGCTGTCGCTGAGGGGGGTGGGTGTGTGGGAGCCTAGGGTTTAGGGTTTAAGGGGGGTGCTGTGGGAGTGGAGCTAGGGTTTGAACAGGGAGTGTGTGAGAGGGGAGTGGGGCAGCTGGGGGAGGTTGTGTGAAGGTAGCTGTCGTGTCGCCTGCAGCGCCTGTAGTCCGTCGCCCTTGCTTCGGTAGCCAGTGAGCCTGTTGCACCAGTCGCCAGTGGGTCCGTTGCTCCTGCCGCTCGTCTATAGCCGCGGAGCCAGTCACTCTAGTAGTCCGTCGCCCTTGCTTCGGTAGCCACTGAGTCAGCCGCTCCTGTGCCCGTGCCTCTGCAGCTTCAGTCGTTGCCTCGCATCTTCTCTTCCTCCACAGTCTCTCCTCCTCATTTGCCCTCTCTGTCTGCTGCGCTCTACTTGGTGTACCCCTTCCGGGGGTGTTTCTGCACATGGTTCTTCACTGCAGGCAGTTAGGGGGTGTGTCAGAATGTTATTGTATACATCACTTTATAACTGCCTGCAATGTAGACTTAGTGTAGTTACCTTGCTTGTTAGGTGGTGCACCTTGCTTCACTTCTTTCATATTTGTACCCTTGAACCTATAGTGAAACCCTCATTCCCCTTCACAACTTTCTCGACACTCTCCTCACCCTCGAACTCAACTACCAAGGCTCCTAAACTATGGCTCCTAAGCCAAACTCACGCTAGTATTTTGTTAAAAGGATGGCTCATTCTTGACATTGACAGTAACGAGATCGTCCCTGCGCGTTACATCCTCTTCTACGAACAGATCACCTTGAAGCAGTGGATCGAGGACGAGCGCCGCAATCAGGCACGAGGCTACGCCAACAGCGGCCGCAGCTTTGCGACTCTAGAAGACGAAGCAGCAGCAGCAGCACTAGACCGCGACGACGCCGACGAACATCCCAGCATCCCGCCTCGCCCGCGCGACGACGACGACGACGACGACGATGACAGCGACGATGACCCCGCGCCAGGACCGTCACGGCGCCACGCAGAACCCAACACTACAGCGACCGGCTACGAAAGCGGAGACGACGACGTGGTGGAAGTACCCACCAACGCGGACACCACCAATGTGTCAGGCCTACAACTCCTCGGCCTACACACGTCCGTCACCACTCTCGCACGGGCCGTGGAACCGAAGAATCCTCGCCAGGCCCTAACCGGTCCTCACGCCAAAGAGTGGCGTGCAGCAATGGATGCTGAACTGAAGGCGCTGGAGTCTCGTGACACCTGGGTCTTAGTCGATCGTGCAGCAGTGAAGGGGAGGAAGATACTCAGCGGAAAGTGGGTTTTTTCGCCTGAAAACTAACGCTGACGGCACTATCGAGCGTTTCAAGGCACGCTGGGTCGTACGCGGATACGATCAGCTCCACGGCATTGACTTTGACCAGACCTTTGCTCCCGTCAGTCGTCACACCTCAGTCCGGATTCTACTCGCTATTGCCGCCGCTAAGCACCTGCCACTGCGGCAGATCGACGTGAAGAACGCGTTTCTATACGCGTTGGTGGACGCCACCATCTTTGTGGAGCAGCCGCACACCTACGGAGAAGGTGATCCCAGGGTCTGTCAACTGAAGAAGTCCCTCTACGGGATCAAACAGGCGCCTCGTCTCTGGCAGCAGCACCTGCACAAAATCCTCCTTGAAATCGGCTTCAAGCAGCTGCCGCACGATCCGGGAATGTATCGCCTCCACTTCAGCTGACAGTTTATGTCGACGACCTGCTCTACACGGGCACCTGCAACAAGCTCCTTAACCAGTTCGAGGAGAACCTGGCGCAGCGCGTTGACATCACCATCAACCACAATGTGAAGCAGTTTCTGGGGCTGAACATCACCTACGCGCCAGAAGCAATCCACCTGTCAGCTTCAAAGTACGCAGAGCAGCTGGGGGAACGCTTCAACATCACACCCGCACCACTCTCAACTCCCTACCGCAACCCCAGCGCCAACTACAAACCGGACAACAAACCTCTGTCGCCCGCAGGACTCCAAATGTACCAGCAGAAATTGGGGTGCCTGTTATTCGCCTCTGTCACCTGCCGACCCGACCTTTCGTACATCGCCAGCCAACTGGCACAATACTCTCGCAAGCCAGTAACTGAGAACCAGCTGGACCTGGAGCGCGCCCTGCAGTACTTCATCTCCACACCTGACATTGGGCTCTCCTACTCCACGCTGACGACCACCTCCTTCAGCCTCAACGGCTACGTGGACGCAGATCATGCAGCTGACCCTGCAAATCGACGGTCCCGAACCGGCTTCGTCTTTCGCCTGGAACCCACAGGACCAATCTCCTGGAACTCACAGAAGCAGGAGCTGGTTGCCCTGTCATCGGCCGAAGCAGAATGCTTCGCCGCGACAGCAGCAGTTCGCGAAGGCCTGTACCTGCAGGAGCTGCTACAGGAGGCGAAAATTCCAACTTCGCCAACCTCTCGCCTCCACTACGACAACCAGAGTGCCATCAGGATCGGGAACAAGCCAGGTTTCGTGAACCGCACGAAGCATATCGCACTTCGGTACTTTTTCGTCAAAGACAAAATTGACCAAGGAAAGGTTGACCTCGCCTACTGCCCGACCACTGAGATGGCAGCAGACTTCCTCACCAAACGCCTGCCACGTCAGCAGTACAAGCACTGCTCCGACCTCACCGGAGTAGTCAAGCGAGTCAGCTCTCCTTGCGCCCAGGAATGAAGGGGAGTGTTACGATATGAAACTTTATGAGAAGGCATTCATGTATGCTGCAGGAGCCAACTCTACCGAGTACGAAGTCGAGGAGTCAGAAGAGTCGAAGCGACGCAACAACTGTCAGACCAAGACCGATGCAGGCAGAAACATTTGAAGTGAAAAGAGCGGGAACAGGTTTGAAACAGGTTCCCGCGCCGCACGGTTTTAATTCGGTTAGAATAAGGGAATGTACCCCTTAGAGTACATGGCTAGCCTAGGTCTTTTCGTATTCCCCTGTACTCTTATATAAACCCGATGTATGCATGCTATTATCAACTCAGTCATTTACATTCACTCTGACCTGAGATTCAAACTTCCGCTGCAACACTACTCTGCGATCAACCCTGAGCGATCCTTCACTAAGTCCCACTTGGGATTGTAACAATTTACTTATTGCCTTTGCTCCTGTTGCGATCAGAAAATTGATCGTGCCTAAGATCACCTCAGGAAGGTTCGCAGAGAGTATGTTGCAGCGGAAAGTATTGACCTCAGGTCATAGTGGATATAAAATGACAGAGATAATTAAAATGAACATACAGATAGGTTTATATAATAGTAAAAAAGTGTAGAAGCTAGGAGAACGGCTTAGGAAAGTAGGAGGGTAAGGAGAACCTTGGACTGCGCAGCGCACCACTTTGACTGGTCCGCTACATTGGATGCCTCATTTTTTTTTCTAGTCCCCTTGATGAGTTATAAAGAATATAAAAGTATATTCTAACAAAAAGGGATGCGAAACGACCTAGGCTAGCCATGTACTCTAAGGGGTATACTCCCTTATTGCAGCGAACTCCAGACTGTTACGAACCTATTCCCGCCTAAATCCTTGCTCCTGCAGCTGCCCGATGCTTCTGCTCTGACGGTCCAGACGCTACCAACCGTACGCGGCCCTTTGCGTCATTCCGACTTTTCGCCTTCGTACTCGTCTTTGCATTCCTCGCTTGCTACTGACAATAGTGCAGAGTACTTCTCAATTTACTCACACTGATGGCCCCGGGTAATTTTTTTAGGAGCTAGGTTTTCCCTGATGTGCCAGGGTTTACATTTAAGGCACACTGATGCATAAGGGTTCCCGAATCCCATACCGAGTTTTACCCTTAAACGAGTACCCTACCCCCCCACCCCCCAGTACCCCCACCCCCCCTTTCCCGTAACCCTGGAATCCTGATTGCCAACTGTCGAAGCCGGAATTTCGGTCTTGACAGCGCATGTGCTGGCACACAGTGGGCCACCATTGGCCAGACTTACAGTTTCTTTGTAGGCAGCGCCACTAGCACAAATCGGTCTGTTTGTCTGACATGACTATACGACCGGGTTAGCAGGAAACTTGGCTGAGTGCAGCTGCAGGTCGGTGCCCACTAGCCCACTGGGCACCGCGTTCCTTGCACGACTGGGGGTGGCTCTGCAGTTCGTTTGCGGGCCCGTTAGGAAACATGAGCGTAAGGGACTGTGGGCACGAGCATGGTTGAGGTTTCACCTTTGGAAACCAGAAACCTTACGCTCAGTTGCTCTTACCATCAGGGGTAGGCGATTCTTCTGATACACACGAGGAGCCATGGCTCCTACAGACGACGTCAATGGTGAAGCTGCTGACGAGCCACCTAAAGATGCTCCCGCGCGGACAGGCTTGGACTTCCTGTGAGCGCTGCATGCGAACCCTCCGCATGTATGCCTTGCAGGCCCGTCTTCTTACAGCAATGAAAAATAGCCTCCTGCTACGCCGTCTGGATGCCGTCGCGCCGGACAGTGCTCCCGCCACTGTCAGCGTGACAGAGGTCGGCGAATCATCGTCTGCTGCATCGAAGAAGAGGCGTCGCTTCGGGCAAGCCGTTCTGCCGTTCGGCACGCCCCCTGCGAAACCTACTCCGCCTCCCGCTCCTGTCCAAGCTCCCAAGCGAGTGTCCCGTGAACTCACCGATGCCGAGAAGGCAGAGGAGAAATTTCAAAAGGCGCAGCAGCTATACATCACGCAGTGGCTGCCGAAGTGTGACTGGCTGCTGCTGGACAAGAACGAGGAGGGCCTGCCCATTCTGCGATGCAGCATTTGTGTCGAGCACGGAAAGGACGACGCGGAATTTGGACGCAACGGCACGGGGGGACGCGATCTGCAGCTCGGATCGATGCGATGCCACGAGCTGAGCGGTCACCACGACGAAGTCATGAAACGGCAGCGGACGCTCATGGCGGGGATAGAGCAGCAGAAACGGAATGACGATTTCGCCAACACCGACAAGGAGGGCGCGCGGCTTACTCGTCTCATGCGCGGCATGGAGTTCATCTGCGACCATGACGCACCGATCGTGATGTTCCCTAAGCTCATAGGGTTCCTCACGGAAGAGGGAGTCGACGACATCCTGCTTCAGTCGTATGGTGTGTACATCACACAATAAGTCATTGAATGTTGTTGGTTTTAATTTGGTGGTTAGCAATTATGTACTTACGTGTCCGTCTAATCTAACACCTTACCCATTGCTTGTGGCAGGTACGGTTTCAACGAAATGGCGTCGGCGATGGCAAAGTACCAGAAAACACAGCAGCTGCAGCATCTTCTCGCTTCACCATTCATAGGCCTTACCTGCGACGAGAGCAACGATCGTGCGTGTGGCAAACATTTGATTGTGTTTGCCATGTTCCTCAAGCACGGCGTCTCTGTCACGGAGTTTCTGGCGCTGCTGACGGTGCATAAGTGCGACGCGTCGTCGCTTTTCACCGTGCTCACGAGCCACCTGGACTCGATTGGCGTGGACATCAACCGGGTGTCCGGCATCGGCACCGACGGTGCTTCGGTGATGACGGGGGAGAAGAGCGGCGTTGTTTCCCGCTTGCAAGAGCGTGTGCCGCATCTCGTCGGATATCACTGCGTAGCGCATCAGTAAGTGTTGCCAGGTTGTATTTGACATTTACCGCAAACGTTTCAGTTAATCCACTATTCTACACTTGCTGACCTCACTTCTTGATGTGTTGCAGAGAGGCGCTGGTGGTCAAGGATGCTGCGAAAGCATACCCAGACCTTAACATGATCGATGCTGCTGTGCGTGCTGTGGGAGAGATTATCTGCCGCTCGAACATTTGGTACGAGAGGTTCAAGGAGCTGCAACAAGAGATACACCGTACAAGCCTCGAACACCAAGGACTGTTCAACGTCAGATGGCTATCGCGGGGCGACGCTATAGCGAGGCTGTGCAGAGTTCTCGGGGCGGCAATCGTAATGATTGTGGAGTACCGGCACACGATTGCTGCAACAGTACAAACATTTAAATTCCACTTCTGTTTGTACTTCCTCGCAGATATTCTTGCGGTACTAAACCCGCTCAACCGGTTCTTCCAGCACCGCAAGGCAAGTGTGTACTTACGTGTGTACAAGATTGGACACTACAAAATTTGCTCTAGCTGACCTGTTTTACATGCCCGGTGTTATGCAGGTGGACATCACACTAGTCGCCAAAGAAGTCGACCACACGATCACCATCATCACGCACCGGTACATCCAGTACGACGACACCTTTGGCGGCGGGGTCAGCAAGCACTTGTCCAAGTTCATCAAAGAGCACGGTGGTGACAATCGGACGGTGGTGGTTGAAGGGATTGACGCGGAGGGGAGGCAGACATCACACAAGTTCGAGCTGAGCGAGACACCCATCAAGAAGCACAAGTTCGGGGGCACGCTTGCTGACTGCGAGAAGCTGTGCACGGGTTTCGCGAAGGAGATTGTCGGAAGAATGAAGTACCGCATGTGGGACTTGCAGCAGTTGGGCGGCGCGAAGCTGTTTCAAGTTGAATCGTGGCCCTCCAGAGAGGACCAGCGCGAGTTGAAGACCCTCGAGTGGCTGGCGGCAAACGATGAGCTGTTTGGGTTCTTGCTTCCAGGTGAGGTTAGATTTATCACGTGTGTTTGATTCGGCTCGCACGATGCGTGTTACAGTACCACTGTACCTGACAACTAACCCCCTTAACTTCCACCGCCCCAAACCCCATCCCCGTCAGGATTCGATTTCAAGGCGGCGAAGAAGGAGCTGAGGAGCTTCTGTCACATCATGTCACGCCATCACGCGGGGGAAGATTTCCACCAGGGTCTCCAAAGCATGTTGAAGAGCCGGGATTGGCGACGCAGCTATCCGAACCTGATGACATTCTAGCAGGCCCTCGCTGTGCTGCCACTCAGCAAAGTGGAGTGCGAGAGAGGGTTCAGTCGCCAGAACATCATCAAGAGCTGGATGCGCACATCGCTTTGCGATGCACGCCTTGGCGACCTCATGACGCTGCACATGCTCAAGTACCCTTACGTCTGGACAGACGTGGTCGACATCTGGCGCAAGCAGAAAATTCGAAGGCCGGCGAAATCAGTTGCGCATGCGACCCCTGTGGACCGGAAGGGCAAACAGAAAGCACCTGAGCCTGAAGAAGAGAGTGATTACGACGAACACCCGTGTGGCATGTCTGATGATGATGAGTGAAATTTGTATTGAGTGCAACGATAAAAAATCTTGACCAGGGTTTGTTATTTAATAACATTGATGCGATAGGGTAGATTTTTCAAAAATGGGGAAAACCCTGATAGAAAAGTTTTTTCAAAAGGGGTCACACTGATAATCAGGTTTTTGAGCAAGTGCTACACTGATCGTAAGGGTAGGCCAAATCCAAAAATTTGCCCTGGTCGGTACGCGCTTGTGCTCTGAATTATCAGAGCACACTCGTGGAAAACTCGGAAATTTCAGTAGCCTTAATTTTTTTTTTGAAACTTACAGCGTTGAGGCCCTAAAAAATCTGATTTTATCAGAGCACACTGGAAAAAAAAAAATCTGAAATCAGAGCTTTTTCATGCAAATCAGAGAATATTTTCTGACTTCTGAAGGCATGTCCAACACTTAACTATTGGGAACCTTCCTGAGGTGCTCATATGCACGATTTTCTGATCGCAACAGGAGAGAAATGACCTCCATCCCACGTTTTGTACTACAAAACGGGCATTTAGCGCGGTTCGAATATGCCCATTCCTGTTAGAATCACTAGCTAGGTGAGGAATGATGATTAGGTAAGGGAGAGGGAGTACAAGAGTGTCGAGAGAGTTGGGTTGTACCCTCTAAGGTGTGACCCTACACAACCTAGAGTAAGAACAGAACAATATGTTTTGACACACCCCCATAGGTGAAGTAGGGGATAGCCAAACCTAACCGTGGTCACAAGACCAGTCAAGCAAGAGAACAAGCAAGGCAAAGCCCAGGGTGGATCTCAAGGACACCACACAATCTGAGCACAAGCAGGCGGCCACAAGGCCAGTTCACATGCAGATTTATAATAGCAAGGCAGTACCGATCACAACCTAGCAAGAGTAAACATGCAGGTATAAAGATATATATAGCAGTGTACAACAAGAATAAGTCAAGCAACCAGCAGGTGAGGCAGAGTGGGCACAAGCCCAAGAGAAGTGCAGAAACGCTGATGATCACCAGCCCCAAGGGCCTTGGTGAAGACATCAGCAGTGTTGGCCCGAGAGGCCACGAAAGCAAGGCGCAGCTGACCACGCTGCTGCAGCTCACGCGCAAGGAAGTAGCGCAGAGCAATGTGCTTCGTTCTGTGCTCCAGTCTCTGCTCGCGACACAAGGCAAGCATTGCCTTGTAGTCGACGTACAGAACTGGAGGAGAACGAGGCCGCTCCCCCAAGTCGGTCAGCAGGTAGGTCAGCCAGCGGAGCTCCTGTGCAGCCATGGCCCCAGCGTAGATCTCAGCCTCACAACTGGAACCAAGCACAGAAGAAGAACGAGTGGACCTCCACGAGACAGAACTAGCGCCAAGACTGAAGGTGTAGCCCTGTGACGAACGCTGAGTCGCCTGGTCGTCGGCCCAAGAGGCGTCAGAGTGTCCTGTGAGGACCACCGAACCCCGTCCTCCAAGCACGAGCCCCATGCCCGATGTGCTGCACAAGTAACGCAGTACCCTCTTCGCAGCATCAAAGTGCACCTTTCGGTGCCTGCCGGGTGCCACGTAGCGAGCCAGAAGGCTGAGAGGGTACGCGAGGTCAGGTCGTGTGCACGTCATCAGGTACATGAGGCAACCCACAAGCTCTGGGTACGGACCACTCGGCTCTACGGACTCGTCCGAAGGTGGAGCTGAGAGCGAGTGGCCGGTAGCCAGACGAGTGGGCTGTGGCGAGGAGTACGTGAAGCGGAAGCGCTGTAGGACCTGGTGCACCATGTGTGACTGAGTCAGGGTGATGGTGCGCCGTGGTCTGTCCCGGGTGATCTGCAAGCCAAGATAGCTCCGCAGCTCACCCAGGTCAGTGCAGGTGTGTCTCTCCTGCAGCTCCGCCTTCACTAGGGCCAGTGCCTCAGTGTCAGCAGTAGCAAAAACCAAGTCGTCGACGTACACGAGGATGTAGAACGGCGGCAGAGTAGTGTCGGTGCGTAGAAACAACGACGGGTCAGAAGTCGAAGGAGCAAACTCAAGAGCCGCAAGTGTCGTCCTCAGTGTGTCGTGCCACTCGCGGGGCGCCTGACGCAAGCCGTACACTGGTCGCCGTAGGCTCCACTGGGTACCCTCAGGAAACGACCCAGTGAAGCGCTGTGGACGGCGCAACCAGATGGCCTCGTGAAGGCTACCCTGCAAGAAAGCTGTCGAGAAGTCGAGGGAGTGCAGCTCGTAGTCACGCTGAGCTGCAACGTGTAGCAACACCCGAAGAGTGGTTATCTTCGGGGTGGGGGAGAAGGTCTGAAAAAAGTCGACCCCCTCACGCTGACTGAAGCCTCGAGCAACGTAACGTGCCTTGAAGGCAGGCGGAGAACCCGGCGTCCGCTTCACCCTGAAAATCCACATGCCACTGACGATGTTCGCCCCAGGTGGGGGAACCTCGTCGACGTAGGTGCCTGTGGACTTCCAGGAAGCCATCTCTGCGTCCATGGCTGTCTCCCACTGAGAGGAGTACTCACCCGAAATCGCCTCCCTGTAGGAGCGCGGGGTGGGGATGTCAAGTGCATCCGGGTCTCCCTCAGGGGCAAGCAGCATGGTCGCGTGATGGGGTGAAGCGGCAGCAAGGCACTCCAGCTCCTCCTGTCTGTCCTCAAGAACGTCACAGCCAAGGGCAGTGCAGCCAAGAGCAGTCTCACCCCCGACGGACAGAGGACAGGCAGGGACAGGGTCAGAGACAAGACTCGCAAGGTAGTCGAGGCGGTACACAGCAGCAAAGTCAACGAGCTCAGCTACTAGGGCAGACGCAGCAGGAGACGAGAACGTAGGGTCCGTCACAACCGTAGCAAGAAGGCGAGTAACAGTCGGACTGGACGTACGAGCAAGGTCAGGCAAAGAGGACGCAGGAGGTAACGGTAGGACAACACGCTGAGGAACAGAGGAAGGACGGAGTGTCATATCGTGAGTGCCGGGGACAGCCGGAGCACGCTGACGACGAACACGAGGAACACGAGCACGGACAGCAGCTCTAGGCTCAGGCTCAAGGTCAAAGCTAGACTCAGGCTCTCGACGCTCAGGGGTGGAAGCACGAGTCTCAGGCTCTCGACGCTCAGTCAGGGACTCTGACACCGCAGTGTAAGGAGCAGGAGCAGGCAGTGGGGAGTGTGGTAGCAGCGGCGGCTGTGATTGGTCCGCCGGTGGACACAGCAACGGAGGAGTAGTACCTGCCACAGGGAAGCCAGTAGCACCTGGCTGAAGACTGAGAAGGTGGCGAAGAGCACCAGTAGCTCCACCAGGACCTCCAGCACCTCCAGCACCTCCAGCCCCAGCAGCTCCAGCTCCTCCAGCACCAGCAGCTCCAGCAGCTCCACGACCTCCAGCACCAGCAGTACCTCCAGTACCTCCAGCACCAGCAGCTCCACGACCTCCAGCACCAGCAGCTCCACGACCTCCAGCACCAGCAGCACCTCCAGTACCTCCAGCACCAGCAGCTCCACCAGGACCAGCAGCACCTGCAGCTCCCCGACCTCCAGCACCAGCAGCACCTCCAGTACCTCCAGCACCTCCAGGACCTCCAGCACCAGCAGCACCTCCAGGACCTCCAGCACCAGTAGTACCTCCAGTACCTCCAGCACCAGTAGCTCCAGGTCCTCCGGTAGGAGCTCCGACGACACCAACACCAGAAGGACTCGCAGCACCCCCAGAGTCAGCACCCGAACTCGCAGCACCCCCAGAGGCAGGACCCTCGGTCTCAGCACTCGCAGGCTCAGTACCCTCAGTCGCAGCACCCTCAGGCCCAGTACCTGCAGTCCCAGCACCCCCAGGCTCAGTACCCTCAGTCCCAGCACCCCCAGGCTCAGTACCCTCAGTCCCAGCACCCCCAGGCTCAGTACCCTCAGTCTCTGCTCCAGTGTCCACAGCAGCAGGCTGCAGAGGCGGCGAAGACGGCAGAGGTGGGAACCCGGGGGGTGTAGCCAGACGAGGAGAGCGGGCACCCCCGGACTCACCACCCCCAGCCCCAGCTCCAGTAGTCTCAGCTCCAGAGTCCACAGTAGCAGGCTGCGGAGGCGGCGAAGACGGCCGTGGCGGGAAACCCGGGGGGGTCTCCAAGCGAGGAGTGCGGCGAGTGGTCGCCGTGTCGTCGGCGACGGCGTCACCCCCCTCAGGTGAGTCAGAGGAGTCCGAAGAGATCTCAACTGGCTCATCCAAGGGGGGTGGGTCTACCTGGGACACACCTGAGGGAGCAGGACCCTGTGGGGGAAGGGGGTCTACCGGGGGGGGGACTGGTACCAGGAAGAGAGGTGCGAGAGGGACCGGGTGGGACGCGTGCGGATGAAGTCGGTAGTAACAGACCGACTCGTCAAAGGTGACATCCTGAGAGGACAGAACACGACGCGAGGCAGGGTGGTAGAACTACCAGGGTGGAGCGTCGGTGGGGAAGCCCAGGAAGACACAGCGGAGAGTGCGAGGAGAGAGCTTGCTCGCTTTGGTATCGCGAACAAGGGAGAGCGCGCCCCAGACCCGAAACGACGACACATCACCAGGCTGTCCCGTCCAACGAAGTGTGGGCGAGGTCTCTGGAGCAGAGACACGGGGCTAGAGGTTGAGCTGATGCGCGGCGTATCGGACCGCAAACGGCCACAGGAAATGGGGAGCAGCCGCATGGATCATGGAGGTACGAGCAACCTCCATGATCAGGCCAATGCGACGCTCAGCGATCCCATTTTGCTGCGGAGAGGCCGGAAGCGTGAACGACTGGGCGATGCCCTCATCCTGGCAGAACGTCTCAAGGACGCCAGAGGAGAACTCACCACCCCTGTCAGAGTGCAGACGCAGGACTGGAAAGTCCCGCCGAAACCGCTCGCGCAGCTGGTGACGAGTAGCACGGATCCAGGGGATCAAGACACCACTGACATCCGCCTTGCGCCGCAAGGGGAAGACTGTGGTGTAGCGTGTGTAGTCGTCAACCACCAGCAGGAAGTAGCGCTCCTGGTCCGTTCCACCGATGGGGGCCGGGCCCCACACGTCCATGTGGAGAGTCTGCAGAGGAGTAGTGGTCGGAGGAAACTCGGAGGAGTGAGGAGCGGCGCGCTGCCGCCCCTCGACGCAAGGAAGGCACGGCGGCGCAAGTGAGCGCGGGAGGGGGGGCAGGGTCTCAGGGAGGCCAGTGACCAGGAGCCGGGAGTGCATGCGGCGCAGACGCTGCAGGGAGGGGTGACCAAGACGGTGGTGCCAGCGCTGAGTCTCGTGCGTGAGTACTCGGCACGAGCAAGACGCAGCTAACTGTCCTGACGCAGACGCTCGACTCGACGTAGCTACCTGACCTGACTCAGCCACCTGTGCAGACGCAGTGGTCAGTGTGTACAGACTAGACCCAGGCTGTCGAGTGAACGTAGCCAGGTGACGGCCAGTCCGGGAGCACGTACAGATCGCCACACGCTGCCCTCCAGGAATAAAGGTATCAACCCAGACATCCTGAATGGAAGCGTTGCTCACCAAGTTCGTCGAGAACGTGGGGAGGTGGAGACCTGACAAAGAGCCGGAGGGGACTGCTGGACAAGGGAGGACCGTGGAGGCTCTCGCAACCACTGGGCCCCCAGAGGGGTCAGCCAGTGAGACTGGGACAGGTGCTGTGAGTGGTGTGACTGTGGTGCAATCACGGAAGAAGCAACGTGACGCGCCGGAGTCAAGCGTGAAAGTGTGCAAGACCTCAGCTGAGGCAGGACCTGTGGTAGTAGACGCACTAGCAACTAGAGCGTCGGTAGACTCACGGGCACCTAGAGCTGCAGCAGACTCACTAGCACCTGGAGTGGCAGCAGACTGACTAACACCTGGAGTGGCAGCAGACTCACTAACACCAAGAGCAGCGGTCTTAACAGAACGATAACCTCCACCACCAGGACGACCTCGCTGAATAACCCACTCACGAAGCTGCCGAGGGGTGGGGTCGTCCGGGAGAAGCAGTGCCCGCTGCTGTCCACCCCTGGCCGCAGCGACTGCCGCGGAAGTGGCCATGACAGACAGTGACTGTCAGGAGTAGGTCCAGCACCTCCAGCTCCTACAGCGCCAGCAGCACCTCCTACACTCCCAGCAGCACCTCCTCCACTCCGAGTAGCACAAGTAGCAGCAGTAGCAGTAGTAACAGCAGCAGGGCGGTTCGGTGGGGGTGGGAGGCCGCACCTCCACCACTCCCAGCAGTACTCCCTCCAGTAGCAGCAGTAGCAGGGCGGCTCGGGCAGCAGCAGCAGACCGAGCAGCAGCAGCAGCAGCAGTAGACCGAGTAGCACTAGCTGTAGCAGTAGTAGTTGCAGTAGCAGCAGCAGTGACAGCTCGGGCTGGGCGGCGCGGCTCGGACACAGTGGCAGAGCAGCAGTGGCACTAGCTGTAGCAAGTGCAGTAGTAGGAGCTGCAGCAGTAGCACTAGCTGTAGCAAGTGAAGTAGTAGGAGCTGCAGCAGTAGTACTAGCTGTAGCAGCAGTAGCTTCAGTCAAGCAGCAGTAGCTTCAGTCAGGAGCAGCTGTAGCAAGTGCTGGAGTAGGAGCTGCAGCAGTAGCACTAGCTGTAGCAAGTGAAGTAGTAGGAGCTGCAGCAGTAGTACTAGCTGTAGCAGCAGTAGCTTCAGTCAGGAGCAGCTGCAGTAAGTGCTGGAGTAGGAGCTGCAGCAGTAGCACTAGCTGTAGCAGAAGTAGCTTCAGTCAATAGTAGCTGTAGCAAGTGCTGGAGTAGGAGCTGCAGCAGTAGCACTAACTGTAGCAGCCGTAGCTTCAGTCAGTAGCAGCTGTAGCAAGTGCCGTAGTAGCAGCAGCAGCAGTAGCACTAGCTGTAGCAGCACTAGCTTCAGTAGCAGCAGCAGTGAGTAGCGCTAGCTGTAACAGGAGTAGCGTCAGTAGCAGCAGCAGTGAGTAGCGCTAGTTGTAGCAGCAGTAGCAAGGAGGAGCAGCTGCAGCAAGTAGCAGCAGCAGCAGCAAGGAGGAGCAGCTGCAGCAAGTAGCAGCAGCAGTTGCAGGGCAGTACAGGCGGCAGCAGCACTGCAGCAGCAGTTCAGGCGCAGCAGTGTAGCAGTAGCAGCGAGTGCAGCAGTAACACGGGCCGCGTGCGGGCCAGGCGCGGGCTGTAAGGGCTGCGTGCGGGCCTGGCGCGGGCTTTACGAGCTGGGTGCGGGCCTGACGTGGGCTGTACGGGCTGCGCGACGGCCTGGCGCGGGCTGTACGGGCTTCGCGACGGGCCTACGCGGGCTGTACGGGCTTCGCGACGGGCCTATGCGGGCTGTACGGGCTTCGCGACGGGCCTACGCGGGCTGTGGGGTCGCACGTGACTAGGAAGGAAAATCGCGTCTAGGGCAACCGTCTCGCCTAGAGCACGGTTTCGAATTTCGCGTTTCTCCTAGGGGCGCGACTCGGGCAGTAGATCTAAATAGTAGTGGTGGGCCCTTTTAAAAATTCGGTCCTAAGGAGCATTTTGCTCTTAATACCATGTTAGAATCACTAGCTAGGTGAGGAATGATGATTAAGTAAGGGAGAGGGAGTACAAGAGTGTCGAGAGAGTTGGGTTGTACCCTCTAAGGTGTGACCCTACACAACCTAGAGTAAGAACAGAACAATATGTTTTGACAATTCCTACATTACAAAAGGCTTCGATATCAAAATACAAGATTTTGAAAAGCGTTACAACTTTTAAATTTATATATGTCATGTACCTTTACACTCTATATTGTGAATGAAGTGGTACAGAAGAGTCTAGACTCTAGAGACTCGGAATTTTCGGCTGTAAATTTGCCTCACACGCAAGACAAGCCAGCAATTTTTGTCCCTCTCCGCGCACAACGGGTTCCAACGGTCCGATGCAGCCTGTGACGCCATTGGCTCGCTGGTTCTGCCCCTCCGCTAGGCGATTTGTTCGGCGGCGGCGCTTCGGCAATCCGTAGCCCTGCGCTCCGATGAAGCTACTCGCACGACGCGAGCGCCTTTCATCAGGAATTCCGCGCGCGCCAAGTCCAACAACCAACGACATCACAGCAAGATGGCAACCTGCAAGTACCCTTCAGGTACTTAAACCAACCGAGAAGTACCGAAGCTAATCCAGCTGAATCCGTAAGGGTGCTGCGTTGTTTCTCCTGCCTTTTCCTTCAACTCCATCCCCCACCCACCCCACCCAAACCATGAATGACAAGACAACCTCCCTCAGCTCACACCCTTCGTATGTATGTACTGAACAGTACTACCATCACTAAAGACATTGATGTGGGAGTGAGTCGTGACGACGACGGCGCCGCATGCCAAAGCGGGTCCAGTGGGTTTGGGGAATACCGTTCCATCGCTAAATATTTTACCTGTTCTGGTCTGCTTCAAGATCTAACGGCCATTAGCTCATACATCACACATGGAGCTCCAACCTCAGCTAGCTTCCTCGCTCCAAACTCGCACATCCAGTTGACCTGTGCAGCTAACTACGACTGGGCTGTGTCGAACTCTCTCCCAACTTCATAACTCGTAATAAACTCTCTTCTAGCGCCGCTAGTCACATTCTCTATTAACAACTCGCGACGCTCGATGAGACATAACAAGACGCACGTACCCTTTCCCACGCGGTTATCAAAGGTAGCAACGATTTTTTATCCCTCCCCTCGCTGTCGCGTTCATCCTTCCATCGAAGTTTGAGCTCCGAAGCTCGTGGATTTAATCGACGCTTCTCTCCGGTCTCTAGAATATGACCGACTCGCGCCAGATGCCGCTACTAGCGGACGACGGGGCGAGCGGCGGAGGAGCTGGTGGAGTGAACAGTAACAACTTAATCGGCGGATTGTACGGCGGGCTACACGGTAGTTTCAAGATGGGCGGGGGCAGGTGGCGGTACCTGGCGGGCGCGGGGCTTCTGGTGGCGCTCGCGCTCTTCGCGCCGCTCGCCTACCAGATGTGGCAGCCCAGCAGCGACGTCGCCTTGATTCCCTCGCAATGGCAAGGTACCCTTCCCACGGACTTGCTTCTCGAGCCGTCTCTCGTGTTCGTCACGTCCTGTCGCCGCCTCATCTTGTCTGCTTCCACCTCTGTCATTCCGCTCGTTTCCCCCAGTTTCCACACGAACCATCTTTCAGTACCCCTTTTTCCTCCTTTCCCCTCCTCACCTTACATCCGCATCCTTTACCTTGCGCCATCCTGTGCGCCATCCCCTCCCCTCCGCGGCCCCAGGCGTCATGCGCCTATCCACCGCGCCAACCACCGGCGACGCCTGGAGCTCACTCATATTCTCCGCCGCTAATCCCGCCGGGCGCGCCGCCGCCCTTGGCGGGGAGGCGGCCAGCGGAGAGCCGTGGGATGCGATGGAGATGGAGGCCTCTGAAGGGCTGTTTCTCGCCGGCGCCGCTAACGTCATGCCGTCACCTGATGACGTGTTTTTGGCGTCTGATGATGTCAGCCCGCGCAACCCATCCGAGGATGGGTTGCGCGGAAGAGCGGATGAGGCGGAAAAACGGCGAAACCAAACCGGCGCATCAACCGCGGACATGCTGCGGGGATCTCCCCGCGCGGATGCGCCACCCGCAGGAACATCGGACGGAAAAGAGATGGGGGGGGACAGTGGCGGGGGAAGGCGGACAGGGAAGCCGTGGGGGGAGCGCAAGGGGTTTGACGCGGCGCTTCCGCGCGCGACGGTGAAGCTGCTGCGGAGAATGGCGAAGTCGGGCCTGCCGGTTCCGCGCGACCCGTGGCTATGCGCGACACGTGCTGCTGACGTTGAGGGATACACGCGACCTTCAGAGTAGGTGGAAATGTGTTTAAGTAGAGTGAGGAGATGTATGTGCGCGGGGGGATGAATGGGGGCGAAGAGGGGGGGGGGGGGGGGGGGGGGGGGGGGGGGGGGGGATGCATGGGGTGGTGCGCCACGCCCATTCCGCTCCCCGCGCAGGAACGCGCGCAGGCAGTACGTGTTCCGCAGCGGCACAGAAGACCTGGACGGCTTCTAAAGTCGACTCGAGAACCATCTCCCCTCCCCAACCCGCCCCGTCCCTTGTGTCCCCCCCTCCCCGCGCAGGGAGGTGCGCGGACAGTACGTGTTCCGCGGCAGCACAGGACTGCTTCTCGAGTCGACTCGAAAATCATCTCCCCTCCCCGTCCCGCCCCACCCCTTGTGTCCCACCCTCCCCGCGCAGGGAGGTGCGCGGGCAGTACGTGTTCCGCGGCAGCACGGTGGACCTGGCGGACTGCCGCCTCTTCCACGCCGCGCTCACCACGCCCTCGCCCTTCAACGCCACCTTCTCCACCCTCTCCCGCTCCGACCCGCTGCCCCTTCCCCACTCCGAACCCTCTTCCTCCACCTCCTCTCCCTCCTCCGACTCCTCCTCTTCATCCACCTCTCCCTCCGCCCCCTCCTCCCCCTCCGCCGCGGCTCCCCCGATCCCCAAGATCGCCTTCCTCTTCCTCACGCGCGGCCCCCTCCCCCTGGCGCCGCTGTGGGAGCGCTTCTTCCGCAACCACTCGGCGTACTTCAGCGCGTACATGCACGCCGCCACGCCCGGTTACCGCGTGGAGCCCCGCGTGCGGAAAAGCCTCAACCTGCGCGCCGTGCCCAGCAAGCCCGTGTTCTGGGGCACTCTGAGCATTGTGGAGGCGATCAAGGTGAGCATGAGGGGGTGTGAAAGGAGGGGGGCAGGGAAGGGGGGTGGTGAAGGGGGGCAAAGGGGGGGTCATGCACATTGCTCCTTGTGTCCTCGCTTTTCCCCTATCCCCCTCCCCCTCTTCCAGCCATCCCCATCCCCATTCCCATCCCCGTCCCTGCCCCCGTCCCCACCACCATCCGCAGCCCCGTCCCCTCCCATTCCTCTCTCATCTTCCTTGCCTCTCTCCTTACCTATCCCCATCCCCTCTCTCACTCCCTCACAACAGAGGCTTCTCGCCACGGCTCTCCTGGACCCGCACAACGTGCGGTTTGTGGTGGTGAGTGAGAGGGACGTGCCGCTGCATGCCTTCCCAACGGTGTACCGCTACCTGCTGGCGTCCAACCAGTCGTACGTGGGCGGTTACCGCAAGTTCTTCCGCGACAACAGGGCTGCCATCAAGGTCTTCCCGCGTGAGCTCTTGGTGGACGGCTGGATGCACGGCGAGTGCTGGGTCGAGATGGCCAGACCGTGAGTGCCACTGCCCCTAAACCACCACCCCTAAGACGCATTTTTCGTGCTACCTATATACTGCCATGGCGCGTGATGCATGGACGTGTGATGCATGGCGTGTGATGCGTGGTCGTATGATGCATGGTCGTATGATGCATGGTCGTACGATGCATGGTCGTACGATGCATGGTCGTACGATGTGTGGTCATATGATGCGTAGTCGTATGATGCATGCTGTATGATGCATGTCGCATAATGCATGGTCTACGATGCATGGTCGTATGATGCATGGTCGTATGATGCATGGTCGTATGATGCATGGTCGTATGATGCATGGTCGGATGATGCATGGTCGTATGATGCATGGTCATATGATGCATGGTCACATGATGCATGGTCATAAGATGCACTGTCACATATGATACATGGTCATATGGTATGATGCATGGTCGTACGATGCACGGTCGTATGATGCAGGGTTGTATGATTCATGGTCGTATGCTGCAGGGTCGGATGATGCATGGTCAGATGATGGATGGTCGTATGATGCACAGTCGAATGATGCATTCCACATTCCACCACAACAGGCAGGAAACTCACCACCTTATCTCCCGTTCCCCTACCAATCTCCAACCCTCTGCATGCATCCATGCAGGCATGCAATGGAGGTGGTGCGGGACTGGGAGTGGCACGAGAAGGGGCGCGACTACTGCGCGGTGATGCAGCGCCCCACATGCTGTGTGGACGAGAACCTCATCCACAACATCATCACCTCCAAGCATCCGCACCAAGTGGCCAACCGCAGTGTCATGAGCGTTGATTGGCAAAGAAAAACAGGCCACCCACACACGTACCTCCCTCGGGACATCTCGCCCGAGTCGATGCGGAGCATTCAGGAGGAGTGGCATGAGAACCAGAAGCGGCCCTACTCGCAGCCCATGTTTCTGCTGCCCAAGGAGTCGCAGCAGTTTGTGATGTCCAACCGCCGGTGTACAGTGAGCGGCGAGAATGCCACGTGCTGGCTCTTTGCACGCAAGTTCATCGGGCTGTCGCTGCGAGCTCTCATGGACCTTCCAAGAGATGTTCTTGGATATTAGGTTGTAACTAATTAGGGGCAGCTGGTCGCTGCCCCATTACCCAATATGATTACTATAACTACACTCTACGCTTTGGGATCGCATGTGCTCCTTGCTGCACCGAGTTTCTATGTAATACAATGAAGGTATGGAGTAAGAGCCTAAGGGCGCGTGTGATATTTGTCGAACTTTCCTAAAGTTCGAACTTTCATAGGGGTTCTACACGGCAGGGTACAGTTGAGAGATGTGTCGCCACGGTGCGAAGCGGTTTGAGTTCGAACATTGACAATTTTCCAAAAATCACACGCGCCTTAAGGCCCTCTTTCATAAGAGATTTACTTCTTTTGTCCTGCTGCAGAGAACATGAACCGTATGAAAACAAGTACCAGATGAGTGTTTATACATCGTAAATTCATAACCTTGTTGCATACAGAATTGAGACTACTGCTTTTGAATTGAATGTTGTCGGGTTATGCTGGCCAGGGATGTGTAGTCATCCATCTAAGGGTACATTCTTGCCTCGTGTCTGACATCAGGTCATCCGTCCTTAGTCTCTGAATCGCCTCTTCCCAAGTTGATTTGCCCCTATTTCGAGCCACTTCGGGTCTTCCGAGCCTCCAAGGACGGATGACCTGATGTCAGACACGAGGCAAGAATGACCCTAAAGCGCACTCGAAGATGTGCATAACGCACCACTAGTCACGACCAACACTTGTGCTGACAGTCCCAGCCAGGTTTCAGTCAACATCCAAGTTCTGTTTGGTTCGCCTGAGACCTGGAAGAGGGACAGAGTGGCGACAGAAACAGGTGTACACGTACACGAAACTTACGACGAGCTGTAGCCGCTAAGGCGATGTGCATTTCAGCATGTGCAAACAGATACGATATTCTATGTGCAGTCAACCTAGGGGAACTTCTCAAACGTGGGAAACAGGTCCCCCATAATTAAGGGTGTTGCGGGACAGATTTTAGATTCTACACAGGATAATCTGCCGAGTCGACACTTCGATCATCGTCATCCATTTCGGCATAGCGAGCCAACTTCGGGAATGACGAGGGGCCCAACGCCGAGCCAGCCGCGCTGGTTCTGAAGTCTCGCACCTGTTCTTGAGCGACTGTCTTTCAGCTACACACCCTTTTTGTGAGTAATCATCTGCTAAACGTACTTCTTGCCTTTCTTAGGTCATTCGTGGGTCCTATCAACGTATTTGCACTACGGCCTTCTTTTGTATTTGCACTGCCGCGTTCGATGGGGGTTATCGAGGATTCGACACGAGGAAACTGGGAATGAAAATCAGGTGGAACTGAAGACCCAAATGAGCATCCATAGTTGACACTCCTGGAGTGACATCGCCGACGCCAAGTCAAGCCCTTGACTGGTCCCATCCAATAAAAGAATTCGCATGACTTTTGTCATCGGCAGTGAAGTCAAGCCAATCTGATCTGACGTGGCTTCATCTGACAGTGGATTGCCTTCTCTCAACTCACACCACTGCTCAGGCACTTTCCCAGATCGTAGGAACAAGCAAAGTTCGACCCGATTCGCAAATCCGCGGTGCGTTGATGCTCAAGTCAATTTCCTTACTTTCTTGATTTGAATCCAGGGCACCAGACACCCCATAAAGCTTCCTCTTGCTGGGAAGTAGTCGTTCACCAGCACTTCCAAGGCACCAGACACCCCAAGCGACTTACTCGCCATCCTGTTCCGCAAGGAGGCTCCAGCACTTCCTTGTTCCGAGTCTGAAAGCTAAACATGAAAACACACGGCTCTTCGGGGTGTTTTGCCACTGGCAGAAGAGCCGCGGGAGCGACATCGTGGCTACTGGTTTTGTTCGCCGCGGTGCTTCTGGGAGCACCTTCTCCGACTGTAGCACCGCATCCTGACGAGGACAAGCCGCACGGCCCCTTGACACAACCTCGCGGATGTTACAAGAAATGCAACAAGCTTAAGCTGGGGTACTACATCAACAAATTAACTGACACGAGGGCGTCCGGACCACAAAACATTCTCGGGAACTACAACTATGAGCGCTACGTTGTAGACCCTGCGGCCGCAACCGTCGTAGGCTCCTTGGAGACATCCGGGGTAATCATTCATTCAACCCCAGTACCGCCCTCTGTCCTTCCATCCGTCATTTATTGTCCTACCGTCACAAGGGTGCGTTCTCCGTTGTGTTTTGAGCAAGCGCCGCTCGGCGGCGCAGTTCATGAGAGCGCGAGAAGTTGGAGACGCTGTGCACCTTCTGTTTTAACGTTCCCGTCTCTCCGTACTTTCCCGTTTCTCCTCTTGGCAGCACGGTAGCGAGCTAGTGGAATGCTGTCAGAAGTGCGCCAAGCAGGTTGGCTGCAGGTTCTGGCATCTGAAACCTCCAATGAATGGCCAGCTGTAAGCATCGCCACTGATATTTCGTTACTAACGATGCGATGACAAATCATCGAATGGAGCACTGTTTTCTTGCTCTCTCACCGTGTGACGAGCTTCTTTCTTTCAGTTCAAAATGCGTAAACCGTGTGACTCGTCAACGCCTCCGCTTTCCCCTTTCAAAACTATAGTATTATTTAACCGCCGCCTACTTTCTTATCCCCCTCCCCGTGTCACGAACAGTGGCCAATGCACGTTGCTGGGCTCATTGGCAGGCATCACCGTGCGGAACTGGGACGTACCCATCGTACCAACGTTCCTGGGCGGAGAGTGCAACCCCCTTGCCAACACGGACGACGACCCGCATTTCCGGGGCGCAGACGGCACCCAATACGACTTCAACGGCCTTCTCGACCGCTCTTTTTGCTTGGTCTCCGACCGTCGGATCCACATCAACATGGGAATCAAGGGCTACCAGCCTATCGCGAATCTTTCCGGCACGGCAACATCATTGGACGAAGAGTCGCTCGCTGCAGCGGTGGAAGCGGCGGCCAATGAGAAGAAGCCACGTCATATCAGGCAGCTGGAACAAGAGCGGCTGAACGTGGAGGAACTGAGCGAGCTGGAGAAGATGCGGGCCAATGGGAGCCTGCCGTTGACTGATGAGGTGGTGGCGGCGCTTGACAGGGAGACGGGTCGTCGCAGCGGCGAAGAAGGCGCCAGGGGTGGAGGGGAAGATAAGGAGCAGCATTCGATTCAGTATGCGAGGCATGAGCTGAAGGCGAGGCTTCTGAAAGAAAAGCCGATTCGCAGCTGGATCAGGTATGCGACACGCGCCATGATGTACTCGTAGGTAGCATGCGCCGTGTTTGTAGTCCGCACGAGTCGTTACGAGCCTCACCTTTTCTTCTCGGCTGCACTACCCTTCATGCTTTGTGCCTTCCAGGGAGCTTCAAGTGATGTGGCGCGCCGAGACTGGCGTGCATCACTCAGCGTTCTTCAAGGCGCGTGACGGCAAGGAGCAAGGGAGGGGCAGCAGCGGGTTCATCGACCGACTGGAGCTCGACGGCTCGCCGGTGGCCCCGCCTCTGTCCGCAGGCTCTTCCATCGCTGGCAGCGGCGGGTTCAAGCTGCTTCTGGCGGAAACACGGAGCTGCAGGGGGAAGGATGAGGACGAGTTTCATCTCACGATTGACGGCGTGGTGGACATGGGCATCTCGGCGCGCGTGGCGCATCCGCTCATGCAGACGGCTACGGAAGCCCAGGCGCATTTCAACGTGCACATCGCCCGGCTCAATGTGAGCGACCTTCTGATTGTTCGCTCCGTGCTGGCTGTGCTGTGCCCCGCCGGTGCTGCCATGATAACCATCCTGGTATGGTATCGATTTGTCTTTTTGTCCCACGCAACGTCTTCCCTTCACCCATCGCCCCCCTCTCCCCCTTCCTGTCGGTCCCTCTTTCCCTCCCTTGTGCAGCACACGAGCGGCATTCACGGCGTGCTGGGTCAGACCTTCCGAGCTGAGGAGTCCCGCAAGGTGCGCTCGCTGCGGTACCGCCTGCTGACCCGCCTGCTGCGCGAGCCAGTGGAGGTGGAGAGCGAGAGCGGCAGGGGATTCCTGGATGGGCGCACGGAGGACTATATCACCTCGGATATTCGCTCCGCGGATTGCATGTACGCCGCTGCGTGGCGCAGGGGCGAACACGAGAGCAGCGACGGAAGTAATTTCATGTGATTAATGATGGCGCAGTGCTGTGGAGTCATTTCCTGGGGTGGTTTGGGGAATATTTATCACCTTTTACACTGGGCAGATACATATACATAGCCTAGTAAATAAATACACTGCCATAATGGCACGCCTATTACAAGTGGGGAGTTCAAATATTTTGTTTTGTGTACCGTGTATGTTTTCCGTTCTTGATTTTAAATGCTAACTCCCATACGGTATCCCAAATGATTCGAACTAACTCAAACAAAAAATCTGTGCAGTGCCATGTGGATCACGTGTTAATTATATTATTATGAAAATCAGAGGTGATTGGGAGCCACTTCATATCAGCAGCACTCTTCTAATGTTTGTCCTTCACATCAAGAGTACATTCTCAATGATTGTACTGCAAAACAAACCAGCACTTGGGGAAAACACTATTCTACGGTATGACTAACAGGTAAAACTTTAACTCAAATGGATGAAGTTGTCATACCCTGCATGAGCATGTACAGGAGCAGGACAGAACACACAGGAGACCCACAATATGTCAGATGAGGCGGAAAACCAAACACAGCCATCCTAGCAGCAGCTCCACCATCGCCTCGTCCCCCCTCTCACACGCCACATGCAGCAGCTTCTGCCCCGTCCTCCCGGCGCCACCTCTCACACGCCACATGCAGCAATCACTCTTGAGAATCCTCAAACGTGCTTTCAACGCACCTGCTAGCAAGCAGCTTGGAGCATCCATGGTTGCCATGCTGCAGCGCCACTTGCATGGGCGTCCTCCCCTCTGAATCAACCACATTCACCACCGCCCCCCACAGCAGCAGCAGCTCCACCATCGCCTCGTCGCCCCTCTCACACGCCACATGCAGCAGCCTCTGCCCCGTTCTCCCCGCACCGCCTCTTGTGGTCCCCGGTCCAGCTGGCGCCGTGCTGGCGACGGCCCTGACCACGTCAGCGTTGACGTCCACGGGCGCAGTGACGAGGAGGCGGAAGGCGGAGCGCACGTCACAGGAGGCAACTGCTGCTCGCAGGTGGTGCAGCGCGGTCAAGGTGTTGTCGGTGGCGGGCGCTTGGTAACGGCGCTCCACATACTGGAAGATGGTGGGGTGGTGGCATGGGGGAGGGTGGAACGGGGGAATGGGGAGAGGGAAATAGAAGAAGGAAAATGGGATTTCACAGTGCAAGGCGAGAGTAGAACTGTTCACTTAGCACACGTCGCAGGAGCCGGAAAGGCGGAGCGGACATCGCAGGAGGCGACTGCTGCTCGCAGGTGGTGGAGTGCCGTCGAAGGGGTGTCGGTGGTGTGGGCAAGGAAGCAGCGCTTCACATACTGGAAGATGGTGGGTTGGTGGCATGGACGGGTGGTGGCATTGAGGGGTGGGTGGTGGGATGGCATGGGGAGGAGGGAAGGGGGAAACGGGGGAAGGTTGAAAAAATAGTAACGGGGAGGGGAATACACAGTACGAGGGGAGAGTGCTGCTGTTCACACATGGCACATCGCATGAGGCGACTGCTGTGCGGAGGTGGTGCAGCGCGGTCGAGGGGGTGTTGTTGGAGGGGGCGAGGAAGCGCCGTGCCACGCACTGCAAGATGGGGGGGGGTGAGATTAGGGGGTGGCAAATAGAGAGTCTGCGTCTTTGTGGGCCAATGAGTCTGTGTCTGCCGGCTTGACTGTTGATCCGACTGAAAAGCAACACTAAACCGTAAACCCTGCACACGCGTGTCCCACTTACCCACCTTGCAACTGATGTATTCTCTTTCACTGCAATGAGTCTGTGCCTGCTGGCTTGACTCTAAAGGGACAATTCCCTCAAAAGTGACCATAAACCTTAAAGCCTGCACATGTGCATCCCACCCACCTTGCAGCTGATGTACTGCTCTTTCACTACCAGTGAGTCCGTGTCTGCTGGCTTGACGTTGACTCAAAGTGGCCATTTCCTCAACAGTGATCTTAAAGCCTACACATGTGTGACCCACCCACCTTGCAGTGAATGTACCGCTCTTTCACTGCCAGTGAGTCCGTGTCTGCCGGCTTGTGCACCACAGCAGGCGCTGCTGCTGCTGAGGCGGGCATTGACGCCCCTCCATCGTTGGCCAATAGGATGTAGTCCTCTCGCTCGCCCTCCCCGCTCTGCACTCTACGCAGTGTCATGGGTGTGCATGGTGGAGGGACGAGAGGGGAAGGGAGAAGGTGGTGAGGAGAAGGAAACGTAAGGGGAAGTGAGACAGAGAGCGGGAGCAGGGGGTAGATGGGTGATGCAAGCACTGACGCCCCTCCATCGCTGGCCAATGGGATGTAGTCCTCTCCCCCGCCCTCCTCGCCCTCCTCGCCCGCCACTCTACGTGGTGCCATGGTTGGAGGGAAGTGACGGGAGAAGCGGCGGTCGAGGAGGAGAAAGCGAGGGGGAGGGTGAGACAGAGAGTGGGCCCTCTTCCTCAAGCGAGATCGTTTCTGAGGCTTGTGATGCTTCAGCTACATAGTCCTCCCCGTCATCGATGTTGTCAGATTCCTCCGCTTCCTGATTCGTCGGCGGCGCCTCTTGTTCTGGGCGTTCGTGGCGTTTCCGCCACGTTCCAGATCTCACAAGCGCTTCTCTTCCCCCGACGATTGCGCCTCCGCCCCGTCTTCCGCCTCGTCCCCCACGACCTCCTCCTCGGGCCCCGCGGGTCACCTATCCGCCTCTGCCCTGATTCTCGTTGATCTGCACTCCCCGCCCCGCTTGTGGCGTTCTTCCCGTCGGGATCCACAGTGAGTATGGCTGCCTGGTCAGGCCTCCCCTTGGCTGGCCCCAGGTGATGCCTCGTGCGCGTGTGGAGCTCCCCGTTTCGCGCTGGGGTACTTGCGGTGTCACGGCTTCCGGTGCATTGTTTACCGCCTCGTTGTTTAGAGTCCCCGTTTGCCTGACGCCGTTTCCTCCTTCGTTTTCCCCGTTGCCTGGCACCACAGATGGCGGTTGATGCACTTGCGATTGTGGCGTCTGCCCTTGCCGAAGCCAGCCCAGGAGGGGTCCCGGGGGGCCAGGTACCAGCCCTGCTCCGGGCTGCCTCGGCGCTGGCTGGGCGCGGAGCTTCTTCCCGCCTCTCCCGCGAGCAGCGCGTGCAGCAGCGCCAGTCCCGCAGCCTGATGTATCGCCCGCCTCCTGGTCGCGCCCCTGCCTGTCTGCGCCCGAGGCAGCAGCAGACGTTCCGGCGGACGCAGCATCCAGCCGGCATACCCTCCTCGGCCCAGCCTCCGTCCTGCGCCGCCTCAGCAGTTGTCACGGCCCCAGCCACTGGTGTCAGAGGTGCTGCCCTCGCCGCTTCCGCTGCCTGTCTCTCATCCGCCGCCAGTCCCTGCTCCACCGGCAGTGGCTGTGCAACAGTGGCAGAGGGTGAAGCTGAGCCGTCGCCAGCGACAGCGGCAACAGAGACAGCCACGGGCTCCGCCTCCTCCCGTGTCACCTCCTCCTGTGCCTCACGTGCCGCTCCCGGCGCAGGTGCATTCGCCTCCGCAATTGCTGGCGGACCAGGGGGTGCCGCCGACGCTGCCACTACCAGCCAGTTCTGCGCCGATCCCCCTCCGGCCTCTCCCGCATCCTCAGTCCTCCGCCTCAACTGCCCCGTCGCCGGCGCCGATGGAGTACCCGCAGCTGTTCCTTGGCGGAAGGCATATCCCAATCTCCTGGGAGGTGTTGGGGTATCGAAGGGCAGAGGAGGCTCCTGTTGTGGGACGTCAGATCCGCCGCCGACACCCCCCCCTCCTGATGGTCCCGATCCCTCCCCCCCACTTTCTCCCGCGGCAGATTCGCCGCCAAGCTCACCTCCGCGCCGCATGGCCTTCCGCGTAGAGCAGCGCGTTGGGCACGTGGGGACTTGCCTGACATTGTTGGCGATGGTCCTCGACCAACTGCACATCTTCCAGCTGCGGCAGACGCGTCCTGAGGAGGTGCCTTCGGCAATGACGGAGCAAGAGCAGGAGGATGCTGTGGCGGCAGCGCTGGAGATGTTGCGGATGCTACCTGCGATCGGGCTTGTGCCGGGATCCCCTGGTGCCGCTTTGGGGCCTGGCCCAGCTGCGTTGCGGCGGCTTGTACTTGCCGCCCTGCAGGCCCCGTGGGACATAGTGCCAGCCGCCGCATCCGTGCTACGCTGGATGGACGGGCGGCTGCGTTGGATCTTGGCTGACTAGCAGCCTCTTTCCCCTTGCCTGCCTGCTTGCTTCCTGGCCGGGCTTTGGGCTTCCCCATGGCGGTTACTCCACGCCTGGAGGTGTTGTTGGTGTTGTGAGTTGTCACTGGGGCATGTTGTACCCCTCCCTATTATAAAACTTGCCGTCCCTTTCCTTGTCACACCTCACGCGCGGCCGAAGGCCGCGCTGGCGAGCGTCGGCCGCCGAAGGCGGCCGGCGCGAGCCGCCGTTTTCGGAGAGCTAACCAAACTCACCAAAGAAGAATGAGGTCAAAGGGAAGGATCCCTGGCCTTTGTACTAGGGAGACTAGGCATAAAACGCCTAAGGACTAGGCCTAGGGCAGAAACTGAGCTAGAAACGGCTAAGGACTAGACCCAAGCCATCTCTCTCTCTCTCTCTCTCTCTCTCTCTCTCTCTCTCTCTCTCTCTCTCTCTCTCTCTCTCTCTCTCTCTCTCTCTCTCTCTCTCTCTCTCTCTCTCAGTCCTGCATTGATGTATGTATAGGGTACAGGCAAGGCAATGGCAATCCTAACAAGCAGTCCTCTCTCTCTCTCTCTCTCTCTCTCTCAAGCAGTCTTGTATTGATATGGGTCACAAAGGTACAGGCATGGCAAGTGGTGGTAACTAGCAAGACTAAGCATGGAAGCAACCGGGAGACCAGAACTAACAAGTAACAGAGCAAGCCCAAAGAAACTGAAGCACACCGATCACCTAGCACTCAGAGCAGCCCGTTCCACAGCAGCACAAGTCCCTGAGAGATCCATAAACCACCCAGCCTGTGTTCCTCCCCTATCAAAGGGCCTCCCCTTTCCCCTTCATCACCCCGCAGCTTCCTCGTACCTTCCCTGGGACCCCCACCACTTCCCTGACCCCCTTAACGCCTCCCAAACCTTGTATTCCTCTCCATACCCGCACCACACCCCTGGATTCTACCTCCGCTGCCACCCAGCCCCCCCGTGTCACCGAGTGCCCTTCTCCCCAGCCCCTCAAGCCGCTCTAGCCGGAGCCTGGCGCTCCTCATACTCATCCACCTGCACCTGCCAAAGGTCTCCCAGCCGGGGCGCCCAAGGGTCCGCTGCAGCTTGAGGGAATGCCGCTTCCGCTGCCCGGTTTGACTTGGAGAGGAGGGACGTCGCCTGGCTGCGTCTCTCTCTCTCTCTCTCTCTCTCTCTCTCTCTCTCTCTCTCTCTCTCTCTCTCTCTCTCTCTCTCTCTCTCTCTCTCTCTCTCTCTAACGGTCCTTTGTATTGATAGTATGGGACGGTACAGACATGCAGATTCTAGGGGAGGGCACATCTAACATGAAGACAAGCAAGCCAGGACAAACAAACTAAACCTACAGAGCACAAGAACAAGTGGGCACGTACTTCTACCCTCCCCTTCCCCTCCCCCCCCTTCCCCCCCTTTTCCTTCTAAGGTGCCTCTAGCGTTGAAAAACAGTCCCCCGGGTTCATCTCCCCCTCTGGTCCCCCCAGTGGGGGGTTCTCTGCTCGTGCGGCCAGGTTCAGCTTTGTGAGAAAGCTCACAGCCTGAGCTCTCTGGAGTGCGACCGAACAGCGCTGGCGGAACTGATGGAGCATCTTCGCGGCCTGGTAGGTAGATGGGTCCGCGTTGAAGATCCTCCGTGCAGCCTTATCCGCCAGCAGCTTCAGGAAGGTGGGCACCTCGTCGCAGGGGCAGCCGTATGTTTCTACTGCCAACGGGACAAACCCCGCATACTCCGCCCTGCCGAGGTATAGGCCTATCTTCTTGTCTGCTGCCTCCCGTGCTGCCCAGCCCCTCCCCTTCCTTGCAGTTTCGTCCCGTTTACTGATGGGATCTGTGATTGTGATATCTCCCAGCCACACTGCCCCCGAGCTCCCATCCCTGAAGGCCAGGTCGGCCTTCTTGTTGTCCACCGGGCTGAAGGCGGTGCACTCCTTGTGCACGTCAAATCCTGCATCCTGCGCCATACGGATGCACTCGTCCCGTAGCTCGTCGTGAGTGTTGGTCCGGCCGTGGCCAGTACCGCACCGCAGCAGGTGGTTCGGCAGCCTTTTGTCTAGAATAGGGACTCGTTTGGTGCAGTCACAGCAGTCTGGCACAGAGAGCGGCATGCCGAGCCGGAACTGTAGGGCGAACGTGAAGTGGCAGGGGTATAACCGAAGCGCTGGCATGTAGAGGATCGCCATGAGCCAGTCCCCTGCCCCGTAGCCTGTGAGGGACATGAGGCGTTGGGTGTGGCCCAGCAGTGGGTTCAGGTCCATCTGCCTAGATGCGGTGATCTGGGCGGCACTCCGGCCCCCTTGGACTAGGAGGGTGAGGCGGTGCTGAAGTTGGCCCTTAGGTTTCGCCCGCTCCGCCGAGATCAGGTCCCTCCCCTCCTGTGTGAGGCTGTCACTGCAGTCCTTAATCCATCTCTGTAGTTCATTGGGGCTGTGGTCGGCCGATTCAGTGCTGTCCAGTGCTGCTGCCAGGGTGGTCCCTGCTTGTCCCCCCAATCCGCCGAGTAGCGTGTGGGCTTGCACGAAACTCGCCAGGAAGCTGTATCGGCCCTCCACAGCAGGGTCGGCGAGGCCCAGGCCGCCTAGGCTAGGTGGGAGGGAGGCCTGGCCCCAGATCCGTCCGTCCTCTGTCTCGCCCCTTGGGTGGCGCACCCCGCAAGCATCCAGCAGCGTGTACAGCAGAGCACGGCCCCACCTTGGCCACTCGGCTTCAGGAAGCAGGTACAGGGGGGTAGTGCGGGCAAGGTAAGAGATGCGCCTGGAGATGCACCGTGTTAGTAGCAGCGCGGCCACCTGTGGGTCCATGCTCGCTATGTGGGGTAGCGGGGACGACATTGTCTCTAGCTGTGACCGTAGAAAGGCCGCTGCTCCTTCCGTCGTACCGATGAAGCTTCCAAGCACCCTCAGCCCTTCCGTGCGAAGTGGGACCCCCTGGGGCAGCTGCTGGGGATCTGTGGCCACTGCGCTCCATGCGGCGCACTTCTCAGGGTTGTGGGTCAGCCCCACGTCGCGTAGGCCTGTCGTGAAGTGGCGGAAAGCGTCGGAACACTCGGCTGCAGGGCCCAGGAAGGTGACGTCGTCGGCGAATGCTAAGCAGAGGACCGATGGGTAAGCGGCGGCTGTCTTTGAGAGGATGGGGTGGATCCCCGCTGCAAACAGCAGTGGGCCGAGCGGATCACCTTGTCGCACGCCAGTCTCGTTAGTCAGCGCCTCGCAGCCAAACCCCGCGTAAAGGAACAGCTGGGCCGGCCGGCTATACGACGCTTTAACGAGGGGGAGAAGACCCTGGAGGTCGGTGTCGCGAAGAGCGTCGACTATTGCTCCGCGATTGATGGAGTTAAATGCGTTCGCCAGGTCCGCCTGTAGTATAAGCGCGTCTGGGTTAGCGCACGTAAATGCTCTCGCAGCGTGGATTATCGCTTCGCTACCGCCTTGGACAGACACGTAGTATTGCAACGGCAGGAAATGCGCACGGCACTCTTTTGAGAGAGCTGAGAGAGCGGACTTGGCGGCCAGTCGCAATATGCACTCCCCTACCGCTATCGGTCTAGTGCCTCCGTCAGGCTTGGCTAGAGCTATGAGGCGGCTGGCTGTTAGTAGCGCGCAGACCTCGTCAGGTAGTTTGCCTCGCAGGATAGTGTTGACGAGGGCGTGGAGGTGTGTGGTAACCCCCGCGTTGGCGAGTGATGCGTCACGCAGGTGTTCAAATGTCATACCCGACGGTCCTCCTCCCACCCCGTTCTCGCAATGGCACAGCATTTTAATGAAGTCCCCTTTTTCCATCGACGCCGCTTGAACAGTATCGGGGATGTTCCAATCGATGATGCCAGGTGGCGCGGGGGGTTGTTTGGCTTTGAGCGCGGCGAGGATGGGTGCAGATGGGTCGACGACTGGCGTTGACTCAAGGGCGAGGATCGCCCTGCGGAGGCTTCCTTTCCGTGCGAGGCCTTCTGCCCTGGCACGTTTGCCAAGGGCATCTGGCGTGTGGCGAGGCGGGTGTGGTCCAGTGGTGGCGGTAACCGCCGAATCGTAAAGCTGTTGCCATTCGCCTTTGTAAACTGGCGAAGTCGGCGCTTGACCGCCGGCCAATCGGGCTTCTCCGTGGACGGGAGGCGAAGGGTGAGGCGCGGGAGAAAGAGTAACAGGCGCCAGCCTGCGACTGACGCAGGGTTACGCGCGAGGTGAAGGAGGGGTGTCAGGAGGGCTGTGGCGAAAAGTGGGCGAATGTCAGCAGGGAGTTTACGCGAAAGCGGGGGCTGACGACTGTCGCGTAGGGGGGTCAGGTCCCATAATTCCACTTCGCCGAACCGCACCAAGTCCTCGGCCAATTGTTCAGGTGAGAATTGGCGGGCCTCTGATGCGGTGGTGTCTGGTACCGGCCGGTTTAATTCGCCACCCGTAGCTGCTGGAATTGGAGCGGCTCGGCGTGGTGTTGGGTTTGCCCGACGTCTACCTTCCCGTTCCTCCTTCTCTAACTCCCCCGATTCTTCCGTGGTGGACTCTTCCACCACCTCAGATATAAACGTAGGGCCTATTGCTTCCTCCTCAGCTTCAGTGTTTGCCACTCTTCGAGTTAAGGCCCGGCGTGCTTCCCTCTGGAAGCCATTCTCAGGTCCACCTCCCCTTCCAGTCGCTCCTCCTCGTCCGCCGCCTAGTCCGTCCAGCGATGCCTGTGTCGATTGGCGACGAGTATTATTCGTACTCGCCGCGGCCCTTTGTCGTGGCGTCGGCTGCAATTGCCCCTCCTGCCGTGTCGTCCCCGGCGCCTGCTGCTGCGGGGATGTCGCCTCTTCTCGCACCTCGATCTGCGCCGTCATCCGTGACTCAGGCTGGCCTTGTCCTCGCGCCTGTGCCTATGGTTGCGACGTCGTCTGCTGCTGTGGGAGACGCCTCCGCGCCGCCACTGGTCGCGCCTGCCGTGGCGCCTTCTGCTGCTGCTGGTGCGGACTCGACGTACCAGCCACTTCCAGCCACCAGCGCCGGCCTAAGCTCGGCGGAGGTTCAGTCGGTTCGCGCGTCGCCTCCGGATGCTCCTGCCCCTCTGTCTGTGGCAGCAACCGTGCCGCCTCCGACCGTCCAGGCGGGTCCTGCTCCCGCACCCCTTGCTCCTGTTCCTCCTGCTCAACGTCCTCCGTCCCCGGGCCATCGGCAGCATCGGCCTCATTCCCCTGCACCGCGTGACGAGCGGGAGACATCACGGCGGCATCACGATTCACCTCGCCGCCGTGGTTCGCAGGCGAACTGGGCTGCACCCCGTGGCGGCCGAGGGGGCTGGTGGGGAGGGCGTGGTCGCGGTGGCGGCTGGGTGTATGATCAGCCGGTGACAATGGCCGACTTGCAGTGAGTTGTGTCCGACGCGATGCGCGAGGAGCGGAACGGGCGGGCGAGCCTGAGCAATTCGCCGCGCCACGCTCCTGCGCCGGTGTCTCATCCTCCGCCTGCGCCCGCTCCTCCTCTTCCCTCGACTGCCGCTCCTCCTCCTCGTGCTCCCGCCGCGTCTGCTGCTGCTCATGGGAACCGTCTCCGGCTGCCGTGGGTTCCTCCTGTGGCGGGCGTGGAGTTTGTGACTGCGGGCGGGGGACCAGTGACGCCGCAGTATCCGTCCCTGCTGCCTGTTGCTCCTGATCCTCCGGCTGCTGATCTTCCGGTACAGTCGCTGGTAGGGCCTTTTCCTTCGGCGGATGTCCCCGAGGCGTCACTCGGGCAGCTTTGGCGCCTCTCTGAGGGTCTGCGGGCTGTTCACCTGATCCAGGTGTATTGCCACGCGGCTCTTTCTCGTGGCGTGCCTCTGGTAGGCGGCCCTCTGGACGAGTGCTTGGATGCCGCTGACCGGCTTGCCGAGCTCCTTGCGCCCGTGTTGGCTGCGCCCGCGCGGGGTGGAGTTGCGGGCGTTGGACAGCTTGGGACTGCGCTCCGTGGTCTGCGCCGGGTGATGCGCGCAGCGACTGCAGTCGACCTGATCGGTGCAACCACTGTGGTGGTGCGCGAGCTTCATCGCTCGCTGACGGGTCTTCTCGCCGTCCTTGACGCGGATCAGATGTAGCGTCCGCCTTTTTCTGCGTCATGTTGATCTCGTGTATTGTCCTAGGCAGGTGTAGGTGTTGCCATTGCGTGTATGTCTTGAGTTATTAATTGCTTGTCCCTTTCTCCCTTGCCGCAGGCCGCTCGGTTAGGAGAAGAAATGACCGCTGAAATGAATAATGAGGCACAAGGACCTGGTCCTAGGCCTTTATACTAGGCTAGAGAGGGCTGGAGAGGCTAAGGACTAGGCCTCTCTCTCTCTCTCTCTCTCTCTCTCTCTCTCTCTCTCTCTCTCTCTCTCTCTCTCTCTCTCTCTCTCTCTCTCTCTCTCTCTCTCTCTCTCTCTCTCCTCTCTCTCAGCCGCTCGGTTAGGAGAAGAAATGACCGCTGAAATGAATAATGAGGCTCAAGGACCTGGTCCTAGGCCTTTATACTAGGCTGGAGAGGGCTGGAGAGGCTAAGGACTAGGCCTCTCTCTCTCTCTCTCTCTCTCTCTCTCTCTCTCTCTCTCTCTCTCTCTCTCTCTCTCTCTCTCTCTCTCTCTCTCTCTCTGTGTATGTGTGTGTGTGTGTGCGTATGTGTGTGCGTGCACGTGTGTGCTAGCGCACACATCTGTAGTCACAGGTAGTGTAGATGTATAATATAATATGGAATCTAATATAATTTAATATATTATAATATCAATTGATTAGAACAAACGAAAAAGTATACATGTAGTTTCTGGAACAAAAAATATTCCAGAAATATAGTATGTTACCTAATGAGGAACGTAACACAGTTACAAAAGTAACCAAGAAACGTAGCGTTGTAACTTTACTAGTCTCTTGCCCAGTAGTATAGTGCCACTGTGGTGCTCGGCTGAGAGCCCACGTCATCAACACTTGTCAAAAATTAGCAAAAAGAAACATCGCCTCTTGTCCAGCGTGGACGAAACATTTTGCCACCTGGTACACATTGGCCCTGTTCTGTTGCCCACCGGCAAATGGTGGGCGGACAGCACAGCACAGCACTACTTGTGCGTCGGGAGGCTCGGCATGCATCAACAGATTTGAAGGAACGTGCTATATTCCTGCCACCCTTTTCGCAACTACCAAGACTTTCGCCAACCAATCCCTGTCCAGGACTACTTGTGCTGTCCTGGGTCCGCGCTCCGAGCGGGAACCAGTCGGGAACCAGTCTCGCACCGAGTTTGCCTAGGAGGAGGGGACAGCACTACTAGTGCGCGACATGGGCCGCACAGCACAGCACAGCACTGGCCAGGTTCGGGATAGAGTTCAAGGTGTTAGAGACTAAGGACGGAGTCTACGAAGATTAGGTGCCTAAATTTCTCAAAATCCTTGGCTTAGAATTCTGGACAGAAAAGTCGCGCTCACAAGAAACGCCGTCGACGAAAACGCACCGTTAAAGCTTCACCAATTTTGGATATGTTGTAGCTCTAGAGCGTAGCTACAATTCCCAAGTTGAATCGTATCAAGAGGTGAAGTATAACTCGACTTATCAATTTCGACGTACAGGGGGGTATGCTGCCATAACAACTTAACTCAATCACAAGAGTCTCACAATTACCACACAAGGAAGTTAGGGTGGCAATTAACCAGGTGGGAGGGGAAGAGGAGGACGAGAGGGAAGGTCCCCAAGGAGTCCCCAACCAAGGAAACCCCATCATCACACCAAATCCCTGTCAACGGGAGTGTTGTTTGGCCCCGTCCTCACTTGGGCAGAGCCGACCTCGTGGTCGGATGTGCAGGGGTTGCAGCCGACCTGAAGCAGTGGGCACGGGGGCCACTGCAAGGGCGCCAAGCTGAAGGGTGCCTGGCTGGAGGGCGCCGAGCAGGAGGACGCCGTCCTGGACGCCTGGTTGGCGTCCTGGACGCTTGGACGGCGTCCTGGGAAGCTGGACGCCGACCTAGGCGTCTGCACGGCGTCCTAGGAGCCTGGGACGCCGCCCTGGGCGTCTGCAAGGCGTCCTGGGGGCCCAGACGCCGACCTGGGCGTCCTGGGGGCCCGGACGCCGACCTGTGCGTCTGATCGGCGTCCTGGGAGGCTGGACGCCGCTCTGGAGGTCTGCACAGCGTCCTGGGCGCCTGGACGCCGGACTGGGGACGCCGGGCATTAGTGGCTAGCTACGGACTGTGCTGGTTGACCGGGCGTAGTTGCCCGGTCGACCGGGATACCCGGGCGACGTGCGCGAATGTCGCCGGGGTGGAGTCTGCGAGGCCGACCTCGGGGGTGGTATCCCGAGGTCGACGTGGCTGGTGGGCGCAGTCGCTGGCGTGGAGGCTGCCAGGCATCTGCGCTGTGCACGTGATGAGGAGTGGCGCACCAACCAGCTGCACGCATCTGCGAAGCAGGTGCACCGTTGTCCTGCGGATGCAACGCTGTGCAGCCGACTTGCTACAGCGTTGGCACACCGCGGACTTGCAACGTTGGCGAACCGCTACTCCGCAACGCTGGAGCGGTGCGAGCGCTGCTGCGCTGGAGCGCGGTCGACCATGCTGCGCTGGAGGTCGACCAGCAGCCTAGCTAGCTCTGATGTAGTCTGTGATGCCAATGTTGTTGCAACCATTGTTGTCACTCTTTGCTAGTGAAACTCTGGCAAAATCTCCCCGTGAATGTGCAAGCAGAGAACACACAAGCAAATGACTAAGGAACGCAGAGATCACACTAGCACCCGTGCCTAGCCCGTAGCCTAGCTCCCGTTGCTGCAGTTACCTCCGCATGGTGCGGTGAGCGTGGAGCACACCGCGACGTACTTCAGTCTAGCCGACTTTGCACTTACCGATCGTGTTCGTAGACCGGCAGCCGTGCAGTCACTAGCGTGCGCGTAGGCGACGCGGAGGTGATGGACACCCTGGAGGGACGGCTGGAGGATGCGAGGAGACGCCATGAGGCCCAGGAGTACGGGGCGATACCCTGGGCTGTCGTCGAGGCAGGACTCCGCTCCATGTGGGCGGCGGAGCACCCCCCTTCTCGGCCTGCCTCTCCTCGACCGGTGAACGACGATGGCGGCGTCGACGTAGGTGTCAACGCCGGTGGAGGCCAGGTCGGCAGCAGTGCGGGAGGCACGTCGAGGCAACGAGGTGTGATACACGCCGGTGAAGCCGGCGGCGTTCAGGCGCGAGGGATGCAGTCGTCGGCGGCTGCAGGCTCCTCGCAGGGCGACGTCGGAGGACGTCGAAGCGGATTGTCGCCGATGTCGACGACCCAGGTGACGGCGGGCGGGATTGCACCGAGTTACGGCTACTTCAAGTTCACGCCGGACAGGATCTTGGTCACCCCGCCGCTCGTTGGTCGACCGGACATTCTCACCTGGAAGGAAGCCATCGAGCCCCAGCTGGAGATGGCGGGGCTGATTGGCTTCGCCCGAGGGACCGTGGCGACGCCAGAGGAGCACCACGCCGACTTACGAGCGGAGTTTCGCGCCGTGCAGCTGTTGACCTTCACGGTCATCTCGCGGTGCTGCTCGCCGGGCGTGCAGATCGCCTTGAAGTGGTGCCGGGAGTACCTCGACGCCGGCCACTAGGCGTGGCACTTCATCGAGTCGACGTACCAAGTCACCGACGACCTGTTCATCGCCCAGCTTGAGGGGCAGCTGACGCACCTGCGTATGGGCGACGAGGAGACGGAGACCGACTACTGCAACCGAGCCCGGCGCATTCTCGCCACTATCAGGATGGCCGGCGCGCAGTACTCGACGGCGTCGTACGTCACCCATGTTATGCAGGGCCTCTCGAGCAGCTACAACCTCTTGAAGCGGCTGTCCATGGCGCCGAGCACGAGGACGACGCTCAACGAGGACAACCTGACCTCGTACATCCTGCAGGACGAGGCGATGCAGGAGGCTGAGCGGTCCCAGGAGCTCTTGGCGCAGGCGAACTTCGTCGCCCCGGCGAAGCAAGGAGGCCGACCAGGGCAGAGTGGGCAGTCGGGCGGCGGTGGTAGCAGTGGCTGGAAGCCGAGCAAGGACGCCGACAAGAAGAGGTCGGCCAAGGATAGCGGTCGTGGAGGAGGAGGTCGACGCCGGGAATGCTGGCAGTGCGGCGACCCCGACCACCTCTCCTTCGAGTGCCCCGACCGCAGTGACTCCGACGACGACGACGCCAAGGGAGGCCGCGGGAGGTCTGGCAGCCGTCGTCCTCGTCGAGGTGGAAACAAGCCGCGCAAGGAGAAACAGTCGACCAAGTCGACCTCGGCGAAGGACGCCGACTCCTCTGCTGGCGGCAAGGGGCGAGACGACAAGGCGGCGTCGTGCTCGTTGGTCGGCGTCGTGGAGCCGACCGTCTCGCTGGCGCCGGAGGCCGGGGAGGACTTCCAGGCGGTGGCGGCAGCTGTGCAGGCGAACCTGGCGGTGGTCCTGCTCGACAGCGGTTGCTCGCACCACCTGATGGGAACGAAGGAGGCCTTCGTCAACCTGGGGCCGAGCGGCGACGTGAAGCACGTGCGCGGCTTCAATGGGGCGCTGCAGGACATTCAGGGCCGCGGCACTGTCGCTCTGAAAGGGGAGGCCGGGAAGCAGGTGCTCATCCCCGACGTGCTGTACGTACCCGGCGTCCGGGCAAACCTGCTTTCAGCCGGCCAGCTGAAGGAGCACGGCGTGAAGCTGCAGGAGGATGGCGACGGGATGCTCCTCGTCTCAGCGGCGGGAGAGGTGCTCGGCCGGGCAACGTACACCGGGCGTGTACTCTGCACCGACCTGCGCCCCTGCTCGGCCAAGCAGACGATGCCCACCACGGAGGTAGTGGCCCTACGGGCGATCGTCTCGGGGATGAAGGCAACGCCGGACAAACTGCACGCGAGGCTTGCGCACGTCGGCATGGACACCATCCGGAGCTCCGCGAAGCACGAGGTCGCCACCGGGCTGGACCTCAAGTCGGCGTCTGGCGCCGACTCACCGTGTGTTTCGTACGTCGGCGGGAAGCTGGCGTGACACTCCTTCCCCGACAACGGCTCCGACGCCGACGAAGTGCTGGCCGTCGTGCACATCGACCTGTGCGGGCCGTTTCGTGTAGCTGCCAAGGATGG